ATTAGCCCTTCAGAAAGTGCTAACTGTATTTCTACTCATAGGAATGGATTCCGTGAGGGAACCACACCGAAGCCCAAGAGAGCAGCTGTTGCAGCCTCCAGTTCATCATAAAGACTCATCTGTTTGTTAAAATAAATGGTCTTATCCAGAAAATCTGTTGCTTTTTATGTGTTTTTATTTCAGTGAAATGTGGGATTGGTGAAACACGAGTGTTTACATACACAGTTTCTTGATGGTATGTGTTGAAACAAGTAATGAAAATCTTTAATTGACTTGTCATTTGATAGCACCTCTGCCTTGAAAAGGACCCTTAGCTCCACGCTGGACTTAAAAAAGTGGCTGGTGTGTGTTCCTCAAAAGGACTCACCTGCCAGAGAAATAGAATTGTGTTGCTTGCCCTGCTTGCCTCCGAATTTCATTGTTCCCTAGTATGGAGAGTCAGAATGGATCTCCAAGATAGTAACTCTAAGTGGCACCAAGTGCTGTTCCCAGAACAATAGTTAAAAGCCCTTGGCCATTTTTCACTGCTCTGCAATGCTGAAAGTCCTGCAAGTGTATTGCTTATTCAGTGGGTCACTGCTTCTTGGGCAAAGAGAAACTTTAGTCTGGAGCACTCCTGCTACCAGACAAAAGGGCTGACATCTGCTACAAGTGGGGCAGAAGTTGCCCAGTTGTCTGAGGATGTAGATGTGGAAAGCTGGCACAGGAAAAGATCTGAGTTAACTGCTGGGCATAAATGGTAAATGGCAGGTAGTGTGATACGGAAATAAGTCATTTAGGGGTATCCATGACAGATGCCTGATGCATTTGTAGCCTGCATGGTGTGCTACTGGGCTGGCATTCAAACTGCTGTAAAAATGGGATCATAAGATGCTGTTAGGAAGATCTGGGGAATTGCAGCAATTCCTGCAAAGGCTTAGAGAATTTTCATATGCCTTGAAAATACTTAAATAAAACTGATGCTTGAAGCTTCTGAAGCTGTTCTTTCTGATTGTTTCTTTGGATTTGCCATGCATTTCCAGAAGCAGCATACTACTTTGTCAGTACAGAAGGATCAGCAGTTAATATATCGATTTGTGCAAATTACAAGAAATTCTCATCCAGGCGTGAAATGGGAACATGCCTGACTGTATTTTCTTACATCTTTAAATGAAGGATATGAATTCTTTGGATACTTGAGTGCATCTACTTGTTTCTAAACACAAATCTTGCCCTGCTGTTCTTTTAGCATGTAAAAAATGAGCTCTGCTTTCTTGCAACTGGTCCTGGAGAAGTTTGGAAGTGATGGTGAAGTTGTTACAATACACTGCGCATACCACACATCCACGTGTTCTCAGTGCCCTGCCCACAGGTGGAGGTCTTCTGGTTCTGGGAGGGTGGGGGAAGGCAGTCTTCCAGGACAGTGTCTGTAGCTCTGCAAAAACAAATCACACCAAGCAATAACAACAAAACCCCAAAACAACAACAAACAAACAAAAATCCTAAAAACAAGGCCAAAGCCCTAAGCAGAAAGTCAAATCATGACAAGAGCTTCTGGGCCTGTGCAGCTTCCCTGCTGCCTGATTTAATCTCCCCAAATGTCAGATCAATGCTTTGCAGGCCAAGGAGGAGCTGAGTGTCATCATCAAGTACTGGGGCTCCTCCTGGAACTGTTTGTGAGGCAGCCTGGAGAGGAGGATGCTGTGGTACCTGGATGCACTGCACTGCAAGCCCTGAGGAGCATCAGTGCATAGACACTATTACCTGGGAACACAGCCCTGAGGAGCATCATTCAGGGAAACTATCACACTTTCACTTCAGCTTTGTTCAAAAAGACGTTTGTTTCCACTGTCTACCTGGAGCACAACAGTGTTTCCTAAAGGAAACGGTAAGTGAGGGAAAATGTATGTGCATTGCCATTAGGCTGACAAGTCAGATACTCCTGAGGGACTAGGGCTTACCCAACCATTAGAAATGGATTCCTATAGTCCTGCTAGACTATGCTTCTTGTTCTTTGCCTCCCTCTGTGGTCTTTTATGACTGACCAGGGTCTGACACCTTGGAAGAGCTGATTTCTGCTCTCTGACTGCAGCAGGAGCAGAAGTGTAGTTGTTCAGGCTCCCCACCATTCTAGGAGATTAACAAAATAACATCATTCTTGATCTGAACAAGCTAAGGAAAGTGACTTATTAGTGTCAATATCAAGAAATGTGGAATGTTAGGCAGGGAAGGAAACAGCTTTCTTGGTTACATGGCAACTATAGGTTCTATAGCTAGGACCACTTTCTTTGTTTCTTTTTCTTTCTTGATAGTGACAGCTGCTTGGCTCCACTGACAGCATTGCGACTTTAAATTCCTGAGACTCCAATTAAAAACTCGATTGGTTTCCAAAATAGTAATAAGGACAAGCATTTTAATTCATTATCATGACAGTGTGCCACAGACAAGCCTTTCTGTCTGGCAATGTGAGTGAGTATCCTCCTAACCAAATGAAGATGGCAATTAGTGCTTTGCCCCTTGTGATATGTCTAGATTACTGGAGCTGATGAGATATGTATTTCACTGTGATCTAATTAAAAAGATGGCTAACCTTCTGTGCCGACTCTGCCATGTGTTCAGATTGCTTTCTTCCTGCGAGACACTGTGGACCTGATGTTCTCAAGCTTATGCCATCTCTCTCCGTATCAGACAGCCAAACATGCAAAATTCCTTCTTCCTATTTTGTTTCAGTATAACTTGAGAAGTAGACCTTGTACCTTTTATCTTATCACTACCCATTTTAGGGATCTACTCAGAAAAGGAGATGATGTGCTGTGGCAACTCATGCTCTGCCTCAGCTAGGTCTAAGCTTTCATTATTAGCTCAACTCCTTTTCTCTTAGTGGTGATTACAGCAGACTTCTGTTGAATTCAGAACACTTGAAGTTAATATTCAGTTCTCTGGCAGCAGGCATCCTGTCCCTCTCTGTTCTGAGTTGTGTGTGGGTAGAAATGAAGTTAGTCTTCACTGAGGGACTGGAAAATGACTCTGTGGGTACCTGCAAAATGTCACTCTGTAGTGGCAGCTGAGGCACCACTAATTGCCAAAAGCAGATTTGTAGCAATTGTTGAGGTCAAAACTGCTGATATGCTTGCACATCTCAGTGTAGAGCTGGGATCAAAGAGAAAAAAAACCTTATTTCAATGTTTCATAGGAATGCACACACATTAAGAGATCAAGAGGCCTCTGTTGTTCTCAGCACGGTGCAGAGCCAGGTTCGTGCCATAAGGAAATGTTTCATTGGGTTATAATGACTGACATAAGGTACTTTGCACCTGTTTAAAATCTAATCTTTAATAACTTATGGAAAACCTGATCTTTAAGAACTTACATATTTGGGGACAAAAAGTGCAAGGACCATCAGGCTGGAAGACGCATAATCTGGTTGAGGAGGTCTGAGCCCATGACACCCAGAAGCTTAGACTCAGTGGAAGAAAGTCTGCCAACTGCTTGCTGTGTTCATCTAGTCTTTTCCCATGTGCTGCTATCAGACAGGACACTGGCTTACAGGTGCTTTGATCTTGGTAGTACAGCTGCCAGTTTTCCCTCTGTGCAGGTGCTTCTCAGTGGTCCTTGGGCAACTAAGGCTACGGTCCCTGGCACACTTACTCTCCTTACTTCATGTCGCTCTGTACCGAACACAGAGCAATTTCTTATTTTTTAAATCTTCTCCTTGGAAGCAAAGACAGTGACATGCAGAGAAGCTGCATCTGAAACACACTTCAGTTCTGGAGAGACTGCAGCTTCTCTGCAATACCGAGACTGGCACACCCTAAAATGCAGAGAACAGGAGTTCCCACCCCAGATACAAAACGCTTCGGTAGCTGAGAGTCTAAGTACAGTCACAGTCGTCGGTCGTCTGAGACAGCCAAGCAACCGGCAGCATCTCGAACAGCCCAGGCAGCTGCTGCGTGAGCAGCGCCGGGGCCCGAGGCCCGCTCCACAGGCCGGCCTTCCAGCACAGCACCGAGGCCGCTGGGCCATCTCATTGTACCAGCGCCATTTCGCACTTAAAAACACATGCACGCTCTCTACATCTCCTCACTTTGGGGCCGGGAGGGACAAGGCGGTCGGTCGGCCGGCACAGGCCCCGCGGGGCTGGCGGTGCCAGCTGGCGATGGAGGAGCTGCGGCCTCCGGGCACC